GGAGAAGAGAGGTGAATCGTTCACACAGGAAATGACATTTGAACTGAGTCTTGATGATTAGGAGTCTGCCAGTCAAGGAAGGGGAAGGAAATCTAAGTCCTATGATATTCTGCATCCAAAGTGTCTCTCGCGTGTGTCTCCTCTTATTCCTTCTGCCACCGTCCTGGTCCTACAGGCACCATGTGGGCTGTTGCAATAGCCCCGCAACTGGCCATTTTGCCTCTCACCCTTCCCATCCCCAGTCCGCTCTCCATGTGGCTGCCAGAGCCAGCTCCCAAACCACAAATCTGAAGGTGGCATTCCTCTACTCAAAGCCCTTAGTGGGGGGTGCCTGGGTGGCTCAGTCGGTGAAGTGTTCAACTTCAGCTCAGGTCACCATCTCGCGGTTTGTGCGTTCAAGCCCCTTGTCAGGTTCTGTGCTGACAGTGGGGACCCCTGCTTGGGACACACTCTCTCTCTCTCTCTGTCCCTCCTATCTCTCTCTCTCTCTCTCTCAAAAAAATATTTTTTTAAAAAACAAGAAAGAGTTAAAAAAAAAACCTTTAGTGGTTTTCATCACTGGTGGGACAGTCTTAACCTCTTATAGTGACACACAAGGTCCATCATAAGCTGGTCATACTGTCTCTTTCCCATCTCCCCTTTAGCCAATCCTCATTTCTCCAACTCTCCACAGTAGACTATTTGTCTGACTCGAGGCAACATCACATCCATACCCTTTCAGTGTTGCTTTTTAAAAAATGTTTATTTGTTTTTGAGAGAGAGAGAGAGGGAGAGAGAGAGAGAGAGAGAGACAAAGAGAGACAGAGCGTGAGCAGGGGAGGGGCAGAGAGAGAGAGAGACACACACACAGAATCCAAAGCAGGCTCCTCTGAGCTGTCAGCACAGAGCGCGATGTGGGGCTTGAACCCACGAACTGTAAGATAATGACCTGAGTCTAAGTCAGATGCTTAACCAACTGAGCCACCCAGCCACCCCCCCTTTCAGTGTTTTTTGCCCACCTTTTCCCCCCTCCCTAGAATAATACAATCCTTTCCCCACCCAATGGGTTCAGCCTTGCCTAATGCAGGAATCCAATGGAGCCCAGCTTGGTGGACCTTTATGGCCCCTTCTGTACCATAGGTCATGTCTGCGTTTGCATATTGAAGAACCAGTAAATGGAACAAGCGTTCTCCTCTAGCTACCACTGTGTGCACCCAGGCTATCTGATTGGGTATCTGAATCAGTTCGTGGTTGCCATGCCAATTCTCTGTGGATACTGCAGCCTGCTTTGAAATCCCAACCCAGCTGGCTGGGGCCTTGACTATTCTCCTAGTGCAGCCGGCCACTCCCCTCATGCAAGAGCTGACTCTTGTCCTTGCCCCCAACTCCTAGGACCTCCACACACGGATGCCACTAAAAGACCATAAATGTCCCTAAAAGCACCAGTACCATGAGAAAGAGTGGGTAAGAAGCTCCTGTAACTTGGCTTTTTCTGTTCCCAGATTAGATCCCTTGACTTTGCAACATGTCTTGGACTTTGCTGTTTGGACTGCTGTCCACTCTGTGGGGGAGCCAACCCTGTTATCGCCAAGTTCTTCCCACTAGCCCTGGTCCAGCTGAAGCACCCTCACTCCCTCCTGGCTCACTGCAAGTTCTAGCATGCCTTCAGGCTGTGGTCTCTATGCTTCTGACATATTATCTTCCCTCCCTTTACAGTTTATAACCAGCTTCTGAACACATCTTATTTGATTCTCACCAAAGCTCTGTGAAAGAAGAGATAGAGAAGTTATTATCAACCCTATATCGCAGATGAGGAAACAGAGACTCAGAGAGGGTAGGCCTAATGTGTCCAAGGGGATAGAGCTAATAAATGGCAAACCAGGTCTCTCTCTCTTTTAAATTTTTTTTATTTATTTTTGAGAGAGAGACAGAGACAGAGACAGAGCGTGACTGGGAGGGCAGAGAGAGAGGGAGACACAGAATCCAAAGCAGGCTCCAGGCTCTGAGCTGTCAGCACAGAGCCCGATGTGGGGCTCAAACCCAGGAACCATGAGATCGTGACCTGAGCTGAAGTCGGACGCTTAATGAACTGAGCCACCCAGGTGCCCCCAAATCAGGTCTCTTCATTGCAAAGCCCTCTTCACTACTGCGGTCACTTAGTACTTTGTGTGGCAGCTACTACGCCCACTTGCCTCCTGTTTCTCCCTTACAGACACTCTGGGGACAAGCCTCAAATAAAAAGTCAATCCTGGGTTAGCCCTACCTACCCTCTCCCCTCCCTGAAACACTGTGTATTCCAGCTTCCCTCAGGGTCCTTTGGCCCTGCTCCCATCTGGTTCACAGGACACAAGGCTAAGTGTCCTCCCTTGGGCTGTAGAGCCTGCTCATAGCTTTGTTGTCCCACCACTGCCCCCTGGAGAGGAAAGCCTCGATCTGGAGTTGGAGCCTCTTTCCAAGGGAGATTTGTAGAACCTTCTGAAGAGAAACTAGATATCTGAGGTGATGATGGATGTAGCGTTTCTTCATGTGTGTAGGGCAGGAGGTTCCTTTGTGGAACCAGGAGGAAATTTTTAAAAAGGATATCTTTTTCTTTTTTTAAAGCTTATTTATTTTTGAGAGAGAGAGAGCAGGAGAAAGGGGCAGAGAGAGAGGAAGAGAGAGAATCCCAGGCAGGTTCTGTACCATCAGCACAGAGCCCAGTGTGGGGCTTGAACCCATGAACCTCAAGAGTCAGACACTTAACCAACTGAGCCACCCAGGTGCCCCATGGAAATCTTTTTCTTGATGGCCTTTCGGATGGAGAAGAAATGCTCTGTGTTTGTTGTGCTCTGTTCTGGGGGCGGGGGCGGGGAACAGGGGGTGGATTTTGATAAGAAAAGGAATCTCTCCCACCTTGGGGGACCTGGGGGTGGGGGCTTGTCTTCTCACAGGATATGATGTCAGTTTCTAAAAATAAAGGAAATTTCTTGCAAGAAAGGAAATTTCTTGTTTCTAGAGAACAATTCTGATACGATTATGCCTGATTTCCTCTTCCTTTTTTTTTTATTTTCTTAAAAATTTTAAATGTTTATTTTGAGACAGAGTGAAGGCAAAGAGAGAGAGGGAGACACAGAATCCAAAGCAGGCCCCAGCCTCTGAGCTGTCAGCACACGGGGCTCAAACTCACAGACTGGGAAATCATGACCTGAGCCGAAGTCGATGCTTAACTGATCGAGCCACTCAGGTGCCCCTTCTTCCTTTCTGATGTACTTCTCACACAGAGTCAATGTACTCTGACAGGGAAGGGCAGATCTTTTTTTTTTTTTTTTTTTCTGTCAAGAGGTAGGGGAGCTGAGGTGAGAAACTTGCTGAGGGGGCAACTTTTACTCTGAAGAATCAGTGGTGAGGACAGTGACTCTGACATGGGGAAAATCCTGTGAGCCCGGGGAAGCCTTTTAGGGATCCCAGAAGTCCAGAGTGCTACAGGGAGCTTAGAGATGTGCTAGGCCAGCCCTTTGTTTGCTCACAAGGAAACTGAGCCTTGGGGAAAGGAATGAGTTACTCCTAAGTGACAGAACTAGAACTCGAAGCCAGCTGTGTCAAGTCCCAGGTTGGGGCTTTTCCCCTCACAGTTGACACAAGGCGGGGAGGCTACCTGCTGCTTGGGAGAGTGATGTGAGTGAGGAGACCTGGCTAGGAAATGTCTGACCTGTGTTGGAGACATCTCTGGGGTGGGAGGCATTGATTCCTGGTGTAGGGAAACAGAGGAAGAGGATAAAATTAGGGGCTATGTCTAAAGGAGAGGGGTCAAAGTCACTGTGCAATCTAACGGGTGGCTTGTGGGGCATCAGTTTGCAGTGAGTGCTGAGGTTCATGGGAGGACTGGGGTGGGGGGGGTGAATATTTCTCCTAGGAGTTGGGGGGAGGGGGATGTGTGCTCCCCTCTCCAACTTGCGAAATTTCTCTATCATTTCCTGTCTCTCTAGACGGAGTTGTCATTTTAATGTTTTTCTGATCAGAGGAAGGGGCCCAAGGAAACTTCTTGAGGTAATGTAAATGTTTTATAATATATTGTGGTCACGTTTACAAAACTGCACGCAACTCTGAAACTGCCATAAACTATACTTAGAATGGACAAGAAAAAATAAAATTAAAGGAAGGGCATAAGGGAATTTGATCCCAATGAAGCTGCTATAAAAAAAAATGGTCCCCCCCAAAAGCCAAAACAACAACAACAACAACAACAGGAACAACAAGGCAAGAATGGCTTGGGGTCTTGCTATTTCTGTTGCCTGTTGCTTTCTAGATCAGCAAAAAAACAAGGCCAGCTCATCTGAGGGTGGGGGGAGGTCAGAGGTTGCAGGAGAAAGAACTTGACAAACACGCAAGCCACCTCTTCATTTACTGTAAAATCCTGTTTAATGTGTAACATTTCAGGCAGAGAGAGGCCTTGAGAACCAGAGGCAAAGGTGGCCCTGACCAACCCCCACTCCAACTTATCTGCCTGCGTCTCCCTCCCCTAATTCCTCCACCCCAGATGTGTCCTGCTTTTCCTTGTGGCCGGCAAGTGCTGTTCCTCCTTCCCTCGAGGGCACTACCCTCCCTTCTCCACCCACATGTCCACGGCACCCTCCTTCCATTCCACTTTGCCCACGTCCCTCCCCACTGATGTGACTCCAGAAATAGGGTATCTGACAACACGGGGTTAAGATTAGTTTCACAATTGGAGATGCTGTCAGAGCATCCTATCTCTTGTCCCCAGCGGCCCCAGGGAGAGGGAGAGGGAAGGCAAAAAGGGGGATGGACAAGAAGAGCTGCCCACACCCCCACAACCTTGAGCACTGGCCGTGGGTGGCCTCCAGCTCCCAGCCTGTTCGGCCCCTCAGACCGAAGGCCCTGGGAGGAAGGGAGATGGCAGGGCAGGAAGATGTTGATGGAGCAGTCCCTAGCAGGCAGAGGCCTGCACGCCGGCAGGGGAGAAGAAGGGGTAGGCCCAGGGCAGGGTTGGGGGGGCGGGATGGGCGGTTGCCTGGTGCGTGGCATCAGCAGGCCGAGCAGCGGTCGCTCTTCTCAGCCAGCCCAGCCCCGGTGCCCGGGCTGCGGCGCAGTATGTCTTTCAGGGAGCCGTCCTGCTCACTCAGCAGCTTGTTGATCTCGTTCTGCTTGTACTCAGGTGACAGGCGGTGGCCGAAGCCTGAGCCCTTGCGGGAGGGTGGATTGGAGCGGCGCTGGGCTCGGCGGGCGCAGGCCCGGATGATGAGGTACACCACCTCGGCCACGTTGAGGATGATGCAGATGCCAGAGGCGGCCAGCATAAAGACAGTGAAGACGGTTTTCTCAGTGGGGCGGGACACGAAGCAGTCCACAGTGTTGGGGCAGGGGTAGGCCTCACACTTGACAAGCCGCACCATGGCGTAGCCGGGGTAGAGCAGATAAAAGACATACATGAAGGCGGCCTCGAACAGCAGCCGGAAGACCACGCTGATGACATAGGTCCACCACAGTGTCCCTGAGATGTGGACCTTGTGCCTCTTCACCTCCTCCAGGTGGAGGGGGTCCCCATGACCCTCGAGTCGCAGCATTTTCTTTTCTATGTGCTGCTGGTGAGCCACGTGCATGGCTACGAGAAGAGCCGGGGTGGAGACCAGGATCAGCTGCAGAGACCACAGCCGCACGTGGGAGATGGGGAAAAAGTGGTCGTAGCAGACGCTGTTGCAGCCGGGCTGAAGAGTGTTGCAGATGAAGGAGGACTTCTCATCACCCCACACACTCTCTGCAGCCACCACCAGCACCATGATCCTGAAGATGAAGATGACGGAGAGCCATACCCGACCAATGGCAGTCGAATGCCGGTTCACGCCACTGAGCAAGGTGTACAAACCTGTCCAGTTCATCCTGCCTCATTCACACCTGCAAAACAGGAGCCACAGAGCAAGCTGGCAGAAAGCTGGGGCAGAAAAGCTGGGCACCATCACACTGCCTGACACACCCCCCCCCACCCCATCACCCCTTCCAAGAGCCAGTGACAGGAAGGGAACAAGGATGGTCATCGCTTTCCTCATCACCCCATGTCCCTTGCCAGCCTCTACTCCCCCTCCTCCTCCTCCCCTTCCTCCTCCTCCTCCTCACTTGACTTAACCTCCCTGAGCCCCATCTCCCTTCTTCGCTTTCATCCAACATTCTTTCTTCTCCAGCCCCTTTCTTCACCAGGCCCATCTTGTTCTGTCATCAGCCATCCTCTTTAGCTCCCCACCCCCCAGCTCCTTAGCTCTGGACCTGGGGCAAACCCAACAAAGCCCGTTACCTTGGGGAGCGCCTATCCCTGAGGCCACCCAGACAGGTCCCCTATGGTCTCATGTCTGTGCAGGGGGAGTGGTCCCTGGGTCCGCGCCTGCGTCCCAATTCATCGCCGCCCGGTGCTGGGGAGTCATATGCTGCTTTATACCCAGTGTCTGCACAATGGGACCTTTGTGGGGCTCTGAACAACGCCCTTTAGAATTCAGATCAAACGCCCTGACTTCCGCCCACCCTACACACAGAGCACTTGTGTCCCAGCGCCGGACACCCAGCCTGCACCCACCTGTTCTGTGCCCGCCCGGTCCATCGCCGCACCCGCCCCACAGCCCCACCAGAAGAATGGCTACGGCGGGGGGTGGGAAGAGATGGAACAAAGACAGGTGCATGTAAGAGGGGACCCAAGGGGACCAGGAGGCTCTAGGCTGAGGCCCTCCCCTGTGACTCTACTAGAAACTGAGGGTCAGCAGGATTTGTCCTAGGTTGAGATCCCCTCCAGGGTATGGGTGAGCTCTCTTAGCTCTTGAGGGGGAAAGGGAGCTCATATTTCTCAAGCCAGGGACTGTGTTAAGCTTTCTCCCCCCCCCCATACATGCTCTCTTTGGACCCACTGGGCAAACCTCTAAGGACTTTCCCCCAGTCTTTCCAGATGAGGAAGCTGAAGCTCAGATGAGTTAAGTAACTTACTCAAGGTCACACAGCTAAGAAGTGTTAGAATAGAATGAAACACAACAGTATCTGAAGAGGAAGTTTAGGCTCTTTCCACGGTATACTCTTTATGCTTTTATAGATGGTGTTGGCAAAAGCAAAAGCCAGCCATTAAGAATGACAACAGGGGCACCGGGTGACTCAGTTGACTTCAGCTCAGGTCATGATCTTATGGTTCATGAGTTTGAGCCCTGCATTGGGTTCTGCATTGACAGTGTGGAGCCTGCTTGGGATTCTCTCTCCCCACTTGCTCACTCTCTCCCTTTCTCTCTCTCTCTCTCAAAATAAATAAACTTTTCTTTCTTTCTTTCTTTCTTTCTTTCTTTCTTTCTTTCTTTCTTCTTTCTTCTTTCTTTCTTTCTTTCTTTCTTTCTTTCTTTCTTTCTTTCTTTCTTT